TGTTGTTCATTTGTTTATCTTGGACAAAACTTTAGAGTATGCCATAAGACAGCATAATCATAACCAGTAAACCATAACCTTGTCTTAGACACCCCATTTGACCCCCTTTATACAAGATTTGCGTGCCACTACAGGACCTTGGTTGCAACAATGATCTATATGGTCCCAGATTATATCAATAACGTCACACCCCTTCACCCCCTTTCCTGGGGAGGCTAGAGAATAATATACCAACCAATTGCTTAGCAATGTGAGCACAGACCAACCCCCCCGCACCTCCCCATACTCTACAGAGATCCCCTTGAGAGGGGAAGCAGGACTGGGTCCAGGGGGAGGCCGAACTGCGCCCACTGAGCTCTGTGGAGTACCAGAGACTGTGGGGTATTCCCCCGTCCCATCTCCCGTACTGCCCGGTGATGGAAGTAACTCCATAGGCTGTGACTCATGCCGCTACACTGCGAAAGGGAGGTCACGTTGGGGCCTTATCGAGTTTCTGAGGCCACTGAATGCGCCCAGAAGCGCAGGACCCACTGACCCAGACTCGGGACTTTGCTACAGCTTGCAGCGTCCAGCGGGCCTAGCTTCCCAGGGCTGGGTCTGGGCCCGGAGATATCGGCTGGTGTCATTCGGTTGCACAATCCAAGGAGCAGCTGACACGCCAGAGGCTGTGTGTGACCAGCCCAGGGGTGGGGAGTCTCACAGCAGAGCAGGGTGAGCCTGGCTCCCAGAGTCAAGCGTTGGAGTGACCTCGCAGATCACTGATTCAGATAGCAACAGAGGGGAATGTCACAACTGGAAAGGAACAAAATGACAAGTGAACATGGGCACAAACTGGAGAACAGCCTCCAGAGACTGAGACGACCTTCAGGAAGTGGAGAGCTTCCCGGTACCCCGGCACTTGGTATTTGGGCCCCTACCTGTTCCGTCTGACCTAGTTTATCTCCCAGATGCACATGGTCAGAAACTATAAATAACGATTCTGTCTGAAAATCTATAAAGGTGAAAAATTGATTAAGCCTAAATTGGGTGGACGTGTGCCTCAGTTTCCCACCTTACAGGGCACTCCAGCCCCCCACAGGCCATTCCAGTCCCCCATAGCCCCTGGTGGTGACCCAGGGTATGTCACTGTCACCTCAACCTTACCCAGACTCTGAGCTAACTCTGAGGTCACGTAGCTCCCCCCCCCCAGTGACAATGGGACTGATGTTTGTTACCTGTCGGGTGGATCTTCGTTGACAGACCCGGCGTGCACACGCAACTAGGAAAATCACAAGGAGGACGAGGATCCATGAGACAACTGCGACTGTGTCACCTGTTGACCCTGCGCCATGAGAGAGAGTCCGGCCGCGTTACCAGCATCAGAGCCAGGAGCAGTGGAACGGGGCGGGTGGGGTGGGGGACAGACACACACTGGCAGTAATTTGGGGGCGGGGGCTGCACTGTCTCCCCACCCTGCAAGCCTCGGCGCTGGCAGCGGGAGTTGATAAAGCTCCCTCCCCTCAACGCGCAGCCCCTGTCAGCGGCGCCAGCCACTTCCTGGGGGAGGGGAGACAAAATTCCCCTTCTCCCCACTAAAGATCCTACTGCCACTGGCCCCCCATCCCTGAGGGCTCCAGCCCCAAGATACTCTCCCCACTGAACCAATCCCCATCCCTGAGAGCGCCAACCCCCAAATACCAGCCCCACTGTACCAGCCCCCCAGCCCTGAGGGCTCCAGTATTTCCCCCTCCCCTTGAATTTCCTCTGCACTTGTACATTCGATCCCCTCGTTAGCTCACTCTCTGGTCCCACGGCCCCAGGAATCTCTCCCCTCTGATGGGAGCTGGGCACTGGGGTGTGACGCGGGAAGAGTCTCCCCTGAGCAGTGACCGATCGGGGTGAGGGGCCCCCAAGGGAACCATTCCCCCTGCACAGACTCTTACATGTGACAGCCAGGGCGAACGCCTCCTGCAGGGGTTGAACCAGAGACGCGTGGCTGACGCGGCAGGTTAAGATGCTGCCTCTGTCCCTAAACA